GAAAGATTAATTAGAGCGACGGAGCTTCATCACTACGAAGAGAGCAACGCCTCTTACGGAGGGAACAACGCTACTTACAAAGGGAGCAACGACCAACTTAGGAGGAGGAGGTTGAGTCAGAGATGGGTACGATTGAGTCGCTGATGGATGGAGAGCGAAGTGTGATCGATTGAAATTGAATGAACTGAATTGCAATTGCCAATTGATTCAATTGAATGGGTCATGGGGTGTTGATTGGGCTAATGGGTTACTAGGCTCTGGGCTGAACAGGGAAAGGAAATTAAACTTAACAAAAAAAGCGTTTGGACTTGTGGGGTTGGGCCCAAAAGTTTCGTGACTTCATTGGGCTCCGCCCCTGTTGGTTTAGTAGTTTCGGAGCAGATAGGGATACGACCGGGTTGTCTCCAGCAAGCTTCGTTCTCATGTAATTTATCTAACTTAATTTAGAAAATTGTTTTATAATTACAGCTTGATAGAGAGACAAACTGAGTGTTTATATTACTATTAGTTGTTCGTGTGAAACCCGCAAGCGTACGAGATCATTGACAAGTAATAAATTTAGTGAGTTAAGAGTATCATCCCCCGAAAAATAAAATTTAATTTTGTATACTAGTTTTTAATTAGATTCAAAGTAAATAAATAAAAGTGCTTTTTGTGATTTTTAATTATTCTAATTTAATCTACGAAAACGTGTAAAATGCGAATTTTATATGTATATGGGAAGAGTGTATTGGATTACAAATCCACCTATTATTATCTATTCCAATTCTCGACTACGTAGTTAGTTTCATTCTTACATTCTTGACAATCAATAATTCTATTGTAATTAATTTTCATTTCCAAGACAAATTTAATCTATCCTATTCACGACCCGATCCTATTCCTAGTTCGAATTCATATGAATAGAACATATTCAATATCACAATTATCTCAAAGATTGCACACGTGATAAATCTTATTCCTATTATTGATTGCACGTATGTTAATCAAGCAGTGTTCTAAACTTATTGTGAATCTCCCAACACTACAACAAGCAACCGTATATTTAATTGTTGATCAAGCAATCAAATAATTAAATTAAGCATGCAAGATTAATCAAGAATTGCAAGAATTAAGCTAAATCATGTGTCTTGAATTAAAATAAATAATAACGGGTTTCATTTTCATCCAATACATGAGAAAACTTAGTCTAGCATAATGGTGAAATTAAATAAATAAAACTGAAAAGACATCACCGAGTAATTGAGGAAACAAGATTAATTCCACAAATTTCTTGACTTTTGCGCCTATGTGTTGATTTCTCCAAGCAGTTGGCCAACGTGGGTTCGTATATATCCCAAAATCAGCCCAAGCAACCTCAATGTTTGTATATTTTCAACAAATTGGCAGCCCCTTTTGTGGTTGTTTTGTACCTCAATTTCCCAACAAACTCTCTGCCCTTTTTCTCTCCAAATTGCTGTCGACTTTTTCTATGATTTTTTTTCTCCCCCCAGTTGGTGTGTAATTCCTCTCCCTCTTTCTGCCAATGTTTGTGCACACACACAACCCCAAAGCAGCCCTTTTTTTATTTGTATGGTTAGAATTCCAAAGTGGCCACCAAGTTTGACTCCAATCCCCTTCCAATTTTCCCCAGGCTGCCCTATGTTGTGTATATAAACAATTAAAGCAGCCCAATCCAATTTAAATTTTGTGAAAATTACAAAACTCCAGATCTTTAAAGATCCCAATTCAAAAATCAGGTTCAAAGTTTGATTATTCAAATGTTAGGTTTAATAAATTAAATCCACCCAATTCAAATTTCAAACCCTAATCTCTTCACCATCCATTACAAGACTTTCTCGTCCTCTCTCTCGCTGCTCGACGTCGGCGAGTAATTAAACTCTGTGACTGGCTACGAAGGGAGCCTGATGGCATGGGGAGGTACCAACGTCAGCATGGGAGGCGACGCAGTAGCTCGCGATGTGCAATTCCTTTCTCTTTTCGATATGCAGGCGGTAGTTTTAGGTCGTCTCTCTCTTCGACGCCGACCGCATTGAAGTAGCAACCGGCGCTTGGCACAACTCCAGAGACTACGCCTCTACCTGCGGATCTGTAGTTTCGTCGGTAAACACGCAGTGATTCGTGGTCTCGTCGGTCACAGATCATGGTGATTCTTGGCCTTGCTGGTGTCGGGGTCGTTGCATTTTCCTGGCTTCTGCGTGGATATGGTGACGGTGATGACGTGGGAGGAGGTGAATCTGGCATGGCGGGTTTGGGGATTTTTGTTACGTCGTGACCCGTGGGTGGTGGTTTGTGGTGTGGTGGTGGTTGTGTGGCTTGGTGATGGAGAGGAACGGGGATGGTAGTGGTTCTCGTGATGACGACGCGGTGGAGATGGTGGAGGTGGCAGGTTTGGGGTTTTTTTTTGTTGGATGGTGGTTGTGGTGCGGTGCAGTGTGGTGATGTCCGTATTGTTGGCGACGATGGGATTGGTGGTGGATCTGGTGGCGATGATGGTGTTGCTTAGACGACGATGGTGGTGGTTTTTTTGGCGTGTTTGGTGGTGGCGATGGATCTGGTAGCGACTATTTTGTTGGTGGTGGTATCGTGGTATTGGTGCTGGTGTTGGTGGCGACGGCGTTAGGGTGGTTGCAAGAGATGGTGGTGGCAATGGAGTTGGTAGTGGTGATTGACTATTTAACGTGTGATTTTAAAATTTGATCATTTATGACCAAAAAAAGTAATCTATGACTATCAAATTTGAAAAAATATGTGACCTGTGACTAGGGCTGAGCAAATCTCCCGAATCGATCCCGAACCCGTACCGAATCGAATCGAACCTGACGATTCTCGTCAAATTAAATAGCCGAACGAGTATCTGAATTGAGAATCGACGGGTACGATTAGGTTCTCGGTTCTAGACCAAGAACCGAATCTTTCTAATTTTTTTTTATATTAAATAAATCAAATTATTTTAATTTTAATTTTTTCTAAACAAATTAACAAATTAAAAATTTATAAATCCAAAATTTTGGCCCAATAATTTGTTTCATTTCTAATTTTTTAATTTTTTGCCCAATTACCCATTTTATTATTTTATTTCTTAGCACAACAAGATACAACCCATTAAATAACCCTAAACACCTATAATAAAGTGCATAACGCTGTCTCGACTCTCGTACTCACTCTCGCAGCCTCCTTGGCATTTCAAAACCTATATAATTGTCGGTCGACGCTGTGACCTCCGATCGAAACTGTGATCTCCGTCGACCGAAGCTTTGACCATAGCAATCATTTGAACAAGGTAATCTACTAGTCTCTGACATTCCAAAAGTATTGACTGTGTCATTAGTTGTATTTATATAATGTTGTTATATATGTTCAAAAATTTAATTATAGCACGAAACCGAACCCGAACGGTTCCATAATTATATTTGGACCTGATGGTTCCATTTACTCGATGCCCGAAAATTTTGGTTCCGTTCGGTACTCTTTAGAACCGAACCGAACCGAACCGACCCATACCCACCTCTTCCTATGACCTATAATTTTTTGGATTTGTGACCATTTGTGACCTATAATTTTTCGATTCGTGACCTCAAAAAAATCTGTAATCAATTAATTTGATGATATGTGACCGATAAATAAATTTGTGACCTATAATTGTGAATCTGTGATCATTAATCGTATAACTGTGACTTTATTATTATTATTTAATAAATATTTTTAATTAATTGTGAAAATCTGATTATTGTATTAATGAAACTTGTAACTGAATTTTGAATCATGCATACTTAACACCTGATTTGTGAACTCTTCCTTAAATTTTACTTCTCTGCCGCAATGTTTGTTGAGCTAGAATTTGAGTCCAATTCCAATTAATTCCCATCACCACCAACTAGTAAAAAAAAGAGTCCAAGCCCAAATAAACTTTCATCCCTTTAATGAAATCTAGTCCTTGATATGAATTTATTTGTGCGCCCAATGTCCTCCTCAAATTCAAACTTGTGGAATTTGATATTCAATATTGCATCCAATAGCCAATTTGTTTTTCATCCTTTCCAATTGTCTGAAACGGGTTTGTCACTAAAAACAAAAATAAAATTAATCCAAGTTAAATAGAAATCAATAAATTGACGACATAAAACTTAATAAAATAGTCTAAATAAGTGCACAAATTGCACTCATCATTAGTCTTGGATTATTATTAATGTACTTTAATCCCTACTTGCTGCATCAAAAACCACGTATTTTTATCCTTTCAATTAAAGAGACTATATTAAAAAATGTAGATGAAGTATTTTTTTTTTTTGGATAAAGATATTTGTACAAAATTTTATTGTCAAAATAGTGTACTCACTCTCATAAAACTTGTGATCCCCATCCCCATCCCCATCCCATTGTGAGTAGTGAGTAAGGGAGTTTGTAAAAAAAAATTGTAGATGTAGCATGATCCTTTTTTTTTTTTTTTGCAAGAATTGACTAGAATACCTTTAGTTGAGGGATTACATGCTGGTGTTCACTGTGTACAGATGGATATTGGTGGCGGAGTAATGCAACGGGTACATGGAAATCCTCACAGAAATTTTATAGGATTCCACGTGGCACGAATTTATTGGCAGATAACCAAAAAAAAAGAAAAAAGTCTACCACAACCGAATCTATTGAAATTCTGTGAAAGAATCCTCGTACTCAAGGAGTTTTCCATTGGTGGCATTGCTCCTAATAATTAGTTAAGGAGAAAACACGGAGTACAGAAGAAAAAATCTATAGAAGTTTTACAGGCTCTGACATGGAGGTAATAATTAGTTAAGGAGAAAACACAGAGTACAAAAGAAAAAATCTATAGAAGTTTTACAGGCTCTCACATGGAGGTGGGTTCCATGTGAATATTTTATTACAAAAAATAAACCACCCACTCCACTGTTTAGTGCTATCCGTGAAATTTCTTCTTTTCATGTAGCTTGACTCATTAGTTAATTAATAGTAACGGTATAGATTGTAACAATTAAAAAGTTGAGGGTCGAAGTGAAATTAAAGCTTTTCTTCATTTCTACCTATTTTCTTCTGTTTTCTCCATTTCTATCCTCCGACTCCGTCTCAATAAATTCTTCCTCATACCGATCAGAGTCAACTCGTTCGTTTCTGCCTTTGCAAACTCATTAATTCCAGGTACTGCAACGCATTGCCCAACAAGTTTTCGTATTTATCTTAAGTCTTTTGGTTTGACTAATTTTTCTTGTTTCTTCAATTTCTTGAATTTGAATGAACTGGGTCTTTTCCATTTGATTGGAAGGTGGTTTTATGTTACTTAAACTATGATTTATTTATTTATTCATTTATTTTTTATGCTTGATCAAAAGGTTTACGTTTTCTTGAATCGATTAGGGATTTGGGAGGGAAGATGAGCGAGGTTTATCAAGGATATGAAAGGCAGTACTGTGAGCTGTCTGCAAATTTGTCAAGAAAATGCAACTCTGCTGCTTCTCTTCCCGATGGAGGTACGATAAACGTTTTCAATTTCACGTTTTGGTTCGAATTTTTTGAATAATTTTAATTATTTTTATTCCAGGTCATATACAGTAAAATGTGTTTATTGTGTTATTGTGGTTAGTTTTATCTCTTGATGATAACTGGGCTAAGAACTTAGTTTATTTACAGGAGCGCGCCTAGTTTACTGATGCAAAGAATTTATATATAGAGGAATATATGTATGTCTGTCCAAATGAAAAAATTATGTAAAGAACTTTTGAGATTTTTAGAGAAATGGAGGTAAAATTTATATTACATTGACACAACTTGGAAATTATAAGATTTACGGTTGCAACCGGCTGATCGCTGAATTTAGCGATGTAGATTCTAAATTTTGCAACCTAGTTTTAGGCAAACTGGGCCCGGAATTGTATATTTTGGTTTGCTGGGTGCTTTCATCAACGGAGGAGGGGTGTAAGTATCCCTGCATGTCTAGACAAAATCCTTGATATTATTGATCTTATCAGCCAAGTGAGTGGTGCCATATGTGAAGTTCTAAGTAAAATTAGGCCATGATGCAAATTCTTGTCATATAACTTGTTTTGAGGTTACCTTCTTTTTTCTAAAGTTGTTATGTTGATGAGTAACATAGTGGAATTCTAACAAATGTGAGTTTTTTGTTCTATTTGGGAGCTGGGATAGTTTTTTTTTTTTTTTGGATAGTTTTAATCCTTTTATTGAATTGTGTCTCAAATTTTCTTGTCAGTGGAAATTTTAATGCACTTTTTGCATGAATAATTGAAACTGAACCCCTCCAGTGGTGATAAATTAAGGAATAGTTAATGTCATACTTAGTACATCCAGCCAATCTGAGTGCTTCTCACTTTTATGTTTATACATCCACATCATCGTTTTTTATTGATTTGTTTGATTCTGGTTCAGCTGCATCATGATATTATTCTAATGATATTCCATCTGATATATATTCCTTCTTCAATCGTAAAGTTCATTCTCTTTTAAGAAATAAGATTGAGAGAAACTTGCTCTGTGGGGTCAATCAATGTTTTAGAGCACGTTTGATTAGGTTTAGAAAGACGTAAAATTAATTTTACCAAAGTAAATTTCTGAACTAAGAATCTCAAAATAAATAAATAAAATTGGTAACTTCTAAAAGAGCTCAGACATATTTGACAAAAAATGTTACTTGAAAGGAACTTTTGAGTTTATCCAAACATGCTCTTACTCCTTACACTTTCAACTGCTTAACTGGTCTGAATGTGGGAGTATTTACTAACTTTTTATCATCTTTTAGTTATTTATTGGAACTGATCTCTTTGTGGGATCTGATAATTGTATCGTTATTATCTTCAGAGAAAAAGAAACAAGAGATTTCTGAACTCCAAGTAGCTTTGGATGATGCTGATGTTTTGGTAATGCTTCCACCTTTATCTTGATATGATTTTCTCTCCGTACTAACCTAAAATGAGTTACATTTTACCAGATTCGAAAAATGGATCTCGAGGCAAGAAGTTTGCAGCCAAGCTTGAAAGCTACACTACTTGCTAAGCTAAGGGAATATAAATCTGATCTGAATAAGTTGAAAAGGGAAGTTAAAAGACTAGCTTCACCTAATTCAAATGATCCTGGCCATGAAGAGTTGTTAGAATCTGGAATGGCTGGTGCAAATTCGGTATGCCTATATTCAATTGCCCTGCTGATTTTTTGTCAATATATAACGTATCTATTTATTGCACAGAGAATTGCAACTGACTTTGACAATTTAGCATCATCTAGCCTCACAGGAGAGAATTCAGTCATGCCCAGTTGCACAATGAGTGAAGGCTTCTATTTTACTATTAATTAAACCGTTCAAAGATTCTCTTTGTGCATTATTTTATTTCAAAGAAAAGTTAATATTAGGATTCAGTATCTGTTTTGGTCATTGGTTTTCAACTCCTGGATCTACTGGACATACTAGGTGACAAATGTCATGATGAGATTGTGTAGATTAGATATTATGAATCAAGATGAATGTTTGTTGAAGATGTCAATATTCGTATCATGGTATTTATGTTCTTACTGTATTATCCTATTTTATTACGCTGTGTTAGCTTGTATCAAAGAGAAGAATTGAGCAGCGTTGACTTGGTTATCCTTCCGAGACATTTTTTTTCAGCTAAATCATTGGTCATCTCCTTGTTGCTTACTTTACATTTAAACCATCCTCCTTGCCTACTTGCTGGATTGTTACTCGTTCATACCTGCCATGCTTAGCATTTCTTACCTTAAGATTGAAAGTCATTCCAAATGAAACAGGCTTCTGCAAATCAGAGAGAGAGATTGACAATGTCAACTGAGAGGCTCAATCAATCGACTGATCGAATCAAGGAGAGTCGAAGAGCTGCACTCGAGACAGAAGAGCTTGGAGTGTCAATTCTTGAAGATCTGCAACAGCAACGTGAAACCCTCTTACATTCCCATAAGAAGGCATGTGTCACTCCTCGTTTAAGAGTTCTTTTTTACATTCTTGTATTTTTCATTAAGTTTATATTTGGTATGCCGAACATGGAAAGACTAGACTATATAATGAACAAGATTTTAGCTCATTTTTCTACCTTAATAGCTTCGTGTCTTGTCTAATCCGATTGACCATGGACAAGCGACTCCCTTGGGAGTCTTTGTTCCATGTCATCCACTTATTTTGTAGATCCTTCTGTAGCCACAGTCAAGGCCATATTTTGATTAGAGTTTCTTTTTCTTTGCAGCTTTATGATGTTGATGATGCCATTGACAAAAGTAAAAAGATCTTGACTTCAATGTCGAGAAGAATTAGCCGGAATAAGTGGATTGTAGTCTCGATAATTGCTGCTCTCATCCTGGCCATCGTCATTGTCCTGTATTTTAAAATATTTCACTAATTTGAGCGATTTCGTATATTACCATGTACCATATGATTTATATGATTACTCGTGTGTGCTGGTGTGGGGATAAAAATTGTACAGCTTGACATTTGTTGCTGAAGACATGATACATTGTTGATTTACAGTAGTTGAACTTTGGTAGTTTGTTTCAGTTGGTATGAACCTTTGTTTCAGTTGGTATGAACCTACCATCGGTTGGATCATGCTTGGCTAAGCTTGAAAAGTTACTTCATAAGTGACTACTTCAGTTTGAAGACGGAATCTATCTAGTGATATTAACTGTGCGAGGACCAACTTGCTCCTTCATAAGCAACTATTTCAGTTTATATTGTGGGCTGTGCTATTTGCACAGGACCCTGTGCAAGGAGAAATATCCTTATATTGTTAATAAATCTGTCAGTCACTAAGTTCCACTGAGGAATATCGGTCACCTTCACCAATGACAGGCAAAATTTAATCAATCAAAGTTCTAAAAAGAACTCCTTATATATTTGCATTTTTTTTCTGAAATTGAGTCCTTAAAAAATGAATTTTGGATATTGATACAATTTAAAATGAGATACATTTTCATTTCAACACCTAACGATGATGGTTGAGTTGTTGGAAAATTTCATAGGTCTTCTCTTACCATACGAGTGTCTTCATGCCTTGGAGCTTCTTGCTGCTCATTGCGCCTTTCTGACAACATGTTCTGCTAAGCTTCAAAAAATGTAAAAGTTACTTTTAAGTATTCTTTTCTTGTGTTCAGCATGTTTTGCATAATTGATTTTTAAGCTGTAGTGTGCTGTGGTGAACTTTTGACACTTCGGTTGCCTGGAACACAAACTCGAACCATTTGTTACATAGCTGACATGGTATGGCGAACGACCCTTGTTTCTGTTCAATTATAAGTATCCGATGATATATCATGTCAGTACTCTAATTTGTTTTGGTCGTACGAAGGTTGATGGTCTTATTCAACTAATGGGAAGGTGAAAATACAGGGCCAATCAACCTTGGGAACCTGGTTATTATCATTACTTGATAGAACAAGGATTCTGGTGAATTTTATTGACCAATAATTTTACTGGCAGGTGGATTTACAATGTTAGAGCCTGCTGAGACTGGAGGAGTTGGTAACTTGTGCTCCTATGCATGCTCTCTTTTCGTTCTTCGTTAATGAGTATGTATTTGTATGGTTCTGTGACACTATTATATGTAGATGATTAATCCAGAAGTCGAAATTGTATCCGTGGAGAATACTCGAGACAATCCTAGCTATTGAAAACCCATTATATTGAAAGAAATGGAGTTTCTAGGCTGGGAACTGAATATCATACTGTGCGATGGCAATCCCCTCATGGAGGATTCTTGCAAGAGGCTTGGAACTACGACAAAATGAACACTCAATTGTAAAATCACATCATAACCTCGTAAATTTTACTTGTGTAACCCTGTATGCAAGAAAAGCCATACATTGACAACTATATTTTCCATAATCCACTTACAATAAATACAATGTTGCCTAGTGCCTTGTTCTTTAGAGAAGAAGACGAATCAAACTGACCAAGATAGTGAAAAATGAAAACTTGAGATCTTTATAATGCTATAGAAAAGGATATCTTGTCTCAATGTGCCCTTAGAGTAGCTACATCATCCTACCTACACGTGCTCTTCGATGAATATCATTTAAACGATGCAAAGATCCACTTGCTATAGCAAAAGCATTCTCCATCACCAATGACGCCATTTGCAAATGCTTTCACAAACCATTGCATCTATATTCAGTAAAGGTCAGGCAGAAGCATTTAAACATTTCGTCCTAAATGTTCACCGAGTTTATCCCATCTGTTGAAGCATGCGTTTTAAACTTGTTCTCCATGAGGCAACCATAAAGATTGCTCCTAGCATGAAAGCCCAGCTTCAAATGCAAATCCCCATCAATAGGGAGCAAAGATAAGCAAATGCTCTCTCTCTCTCTCTCTCTCTCTCTGCTGTTGCAAGACAAAGTTAACGTTAAACCTCATCATATTAAGAACAAAAATCATCCCCAATATCTCAACAGTTAACTACATCGTCCCAGCCTACACGGTGAGGCCACGAATTCAGCTTGAAGTATTTCAATGAAGAGAGATTCAAACATGACTTGGGATACGATGAAATCCAAGTCATTGAACCATGAACTTCAATAAAATTCAAGCCAATTTTTTTTTTTTTTTTGGGGTGGGGTGGAATTGAATCCCAAATAACAGAATAGTTCTTACCTCCCATGGAACTTCGATTCCTATTCCTGCAGGGCATAACATTGAGGAGCCAGCTCAGCTAACCACAAGTAATCTATTCTAGAAATGTTTCGAATATAATTATGATTAGTTCGAACTAATTCATCAAAGATAATGCACTCAGGTTTCGTCCGGAATAAAACAGATGACGGATGGATTTGCACTGTAAGACCACTTGACAAAGCCCTGTCATAACACAAACAAATGCATAAAGTGATTGTTGTTTAGGATATTGTCATCTTAACAAATAATGGTAATATCTCCAAAAATAAATTAAATAATTTTGTTTTAGGAAGTACCAACAAAAAATTAAACTCCTACCTGTATGTACCATCAGGCTGCTTCAAAGCTGCATTAAGAAAAAAGGAAGCAGCAAGGCATCTGCGAAAAGGAAGCATGTCGTCTCCACATGAAGTGACATGGAGATTCATTTGTTCCGCATTCCTCTGTATTTGACTACAAATGAAGTGCCAAATGAACTTAGAAATAGATATCTAGAGAAAATTCGTTCAGAAGAGTAATTATTTTTCTCTTCTGAAAAAAGGAAATAATATCAAAAGAATACAGTATAGTCTGTCTTTCAGATATCATAGTTCAAAACTCAAATCATAGAAAGCCTTACAATATGGAATGTTAATATATTATAGAACAATTTGAATAAAAAGAAGTTTATAATCAGGAGTATAATTCAGGTAACTGTGAGGTTGCCATTAATATCTGGCCAAGCGAACATAACCAACCTGTGGATGTCACGAGCATGCTTGAGGGATCGGCTATTGATAAAATTTTCCTTGCACCATTTTCTGAGATTTTTTTCGGCTTTTTCTTTACTGTTCACTAAGTTGCTCTTCTGCAAGAACTCGTCAGAAGCACGATATACATTCAGCAAAGTCAAATGATCCCCCTCTGGACTTGAGAAGCTTTTTAAAGCAATTCGAGACTGCAAAACAGAAAAGACTTCTACATATCAGCTCCCAAATAACTTTCTGTATAGCGGACATAAGAAAGAAAAAGAAATTAAAATCTTGCTTATTGTATCCATTGAGTCGAGTGTTGTCTAGTAGTGTGCACCAAATATGCTCTTAAAGCATATAACATCAAACACAAAACTTTAGAAGGTCATAAATCAATACCTCTTCTAACTTTTCACGGGGAGCATAAAAGATAGATTCCACAGAGAGCATTGCAACAACTATTAACATTTCTTCCAAGCAGTTAAATTCACTGGCAATAATGAGAGCCTTGGAATAAATAGGATCCAGTGGAAGCCTGGCCATCCTTTGCCCCACTGGATCAGACAATTTACTTTCATCCGTCAGAGCACCTAACAAGAATAACAACTCCATCGACTTGATGATAGCAATCCTGTATGGATGTATAGAAGGCACGGTAAATATCAATCTGAGATGAATTCCTATACGGCAAGTGTTAGAAAATTCGAAAGACCAAATATCAAAAACCAATGCAATTAAGATGCAATATATTTTATAACCATACTCAAGAAAGCTGTCATGAGTAATAAATATAAACCTTCTAACAATATGCAAAGAGAAAGCATACGATTGATGAAGTTAACACTAAATACTAGTCAAATCACATAGAAATTCAGCTGTTTAATCATTTGTTTTCATCCATCAAATAAATTAAACGAAATGCTGTAAGTTATGCATGAGGCACTCGACATGCCATGAGGCTTCAACTAATGGCTTTAAAATTTTCATGCAATAGCTGTTTAACTTTTCAAAGCTTCAACATAATTTCAGTTTTTCACAACTTTCATCCCCTAGAAAATCAACCGTTTGCATAAATACCATTATCACACCTAGAAACCAGCAATTTTGAATCTTAAGTTGGCTTTGAAAGCTTGCAATTTAATTAAAACACGCAAGGTCCCAAATTAGACTACCAGATGATATTCGAATAAAACATTAGAGCAAACAAGAAAATCATACACACGTGCCTATTTGATATATTTACCAAGAGCAAATCACATATATGGACAACTAAATATGTACACAACTGTGATATGCAAACAAGAAAATCATACACGTGCTTATTTGACATATTCACCAAGAGCAAATCACAGATATGGACAACTACATATGTACACAACTGCGATATGCAAACAATGCACCTCCTTTCATATTCACCTGTCTGGTTGTTCAATGAAGTCAAAGCCAATAATATCATCAACGCCTAGAGCTTTAAGATGCAAAATAACATTTGATAGGTTACATCTTTTAATTTCAGGTGTCGTGGAATCCTTGAGCTTATCAAATTCACTCTCTGGGTAAAGACGGTAGCATTTCCCAGGTCCTTCACGGCCTGCACGTCCACTGTAACAGGAATTGGAAGACGTTTTAAGTATCATTTAATTGTAGATAATGGTAAATGACAATAGGTTTACCATCCCATACTTTCTTCAGTCGCCTTTTTCTTCATGCACGAGGGGCAGGGGGATGTAATGAATTCGTAAAAACAAGATGTAATTTAAGTATACCATTAATTTTACTTTGAATGATATTAGAAATTATATTCACCTTTGATTGTTTTCTTAAGGTCCCCCTTTAAGAGAATCCACAGGAAATGAGTTAATCATGTATTATTTGGAAAACAGAGTTAGCTCTGATACAACATCTGACCTAATGTACTCAGTACTCACTTGCAGAACACACTGAAAATAATGAAATAAGCTGAGCCCATTTATGCCCCAGATACAAAAATAAATAAATGAAGAAATAAATAAATCATATTTCTCAACTCTTCCCCCAGTATAAATGTAGGAAAGTTTAGTAGCTCTACCTCCTCTGAACTGCTTGTGCTTTTGAAGTTTTGACGATGATTAATGGTTCAATCCCTGTAGATGCCTCGTACGTGCGTACTTTCACCATTCCAGGGTCAATGACATACTTGATTCCTGGTATTGTTACTGACGTCTCAGCAATATTGGTGGCTAATATTACCTGAATAGCAAATTCAGGCAGACAAAAGTGTCGTCAAGTTCGCATGATCAGAAGACTTTCATGGCATCAGAAAGAATATCATGATTGTAGGAGGACAACACTAACACCTCCTGACAATCTAGGATCTTTTTTCTCTAGCATTTGAGCCATGAGAATGTTCATAAACAACTAAAACTGGACAGTTCCTTAGTCAGACAATATTTTAAATAATGCTCAACTTGCAAATCATGCTTTTAGTATAGTTCCTGGGTACTCAAAATCCTTATTTTTACATAAAATACTACATACAACAGACATGGGCACAATTTCAATGAAGAGAGCATTTGTCTTATCCAATCAACCTATCATAAAAGTTTTGTGTAAGCTGAAAAACTTAGAACAAAATATCTTTGAAGATAAAAAATACCTACCTTTCGAAACCCAATTGGGGTAGGCATGAAAACTTTCATTTGTTTCTCTGATGGAAGAGATGAAAATATTGGAAAGGTCAAAAGCTTCCGTTTGCTTTCAGACAATTGCGGAAGGCGCTCATGGACAAGCCTTTCCGCAGATTCTATTTCTTCTTGGCCAGTCAAGAACACAAGTATATCGCCAGGACCTTCCTCCATATGTATCTGAAAAGAGAAATATTAAGAAACTTCCACCATTATATGGGAGAGAAACAAAAGTTTGAAGCTAAATCTTACAAGACAATACAAGATCCTGGAAAGAAAAATTAAACAAGCACAATAAACTAATCATCTCCTACTTACAGAATATTGGGGAGGGGAGGCAGGATTTTACTCTCGAGTGGCATAAAATTCTCTTGCAATTAATTCAATTCAACTAATTGGAAAACTATCATAATATCAGAAATTTAGAAGAGTGTTTGATTCAAAATTATCAATTATTTGAAGACACAAAAATATATGTTACTATGGCTTGATGGTAACAAGGTCGCTAAAGAAACCATCATGTTTTAAATCAAGAAATTTCACATCAAATGAAAAGTAAAAGTTCATAAAAAATGTAACCGAGGGAAAGATTCATGTCTTCTATAATCCAATTCATCTGATTATTAAATATTCTCTTCTAGATTGCATTTACTTTCAATCCTTTCTCAAGGTCAGCTAAGAAAAAACTATTTGTTAAGAATTCTCAATATTGTTACCCTTTTAATTCCCTCGGAAAAGGATTTTACATACAATATTACTAGAGTCCCACAGTTAAAGAAAGTAAATAAAACTATCAAAATAAAAAATAATTTATGTTTAGCTAACACACTTTTCCATAAATAAAAGGTTTGTGAGGAAAATCAAAATACAAAAGCTTTTTACGCAACTTCAAATTTCTAGGGGAAGGGGGCCACTGCTCCTCCCTGTAATTGGATTCAGCCTAAAAGATCAAACTTAGGAATACTGTATCCTTCATTTGAAAATTTGGTAAAAATATATTCGATAATTTAATATGCAATCAGGAAAAAAAGGTGTCAACAACCTGAAATATGGTAATCAAAGTTGCATCTACATAATCAGTCTCAGGTTGACGAGTATAGAGTATGTCAACAGGGTACTGTCTACCCTGCACATGCACAGCTCTAGCACCACCAAAGTACTCGGAAAAAACCCGTGCATCTAGACTGGCAGACATTATAATAATCTTCAGAGGAGACAATTTCTTGCCTCGGCACTGCTTAAGAGTACTGAAAACTTTGGAACCATTATGTTTTTCCAACGGCATGCCATTCTTGACTGCATCACTTACACCTTTCGACCTCGTCTTTTGTACAGTCTTCAACAAGCCAAGCAATACATCAGTGTGGACAGTTCTCTCATGAGCCTCATCAACGATAATAACAGAATACTTGGAGAGGTACGAATCAAGTAATGCTTCCCTGTAAAAATATTCAGACATCATATGTTAGTTCATTAAAGGGTCTTCTTTTCAGAATACTTAGCTTCGATGAGTAACATGTAATATTACTCATTGAATGAGAACATACTTTATATACCTACTGTACATTTGCAAATTTAAATTCAAAGACAAAATATCTACTAATACTTCAGCTAATACAGTATGAATAAAAAGATAAAAACATGAGCGCACATATACCCCACCTTAATAGCAATCCGTCTGTCATATATTTGATCCTTGTTGAGCTGGAAGTCACATCCTCAAATCTAATGGCATATCCAACTTTTTGGCCCAACGCAACTCCACATTCTTCAGCAACCCGTTTTGCAACAGTGACAGCAGCAACACGTCTAGGCTGAGTTATCCCAATTATCCCACCATCGCGACAGAAACCTCCGTTATTAAGATACTGGGGCAATTCTGAGATGTTTATAATTTCACACATAAGTTCCAGAAGAACAATAAATAGCTAAAATTATGCAGATAAGGTTTCAAGGGAAGTCATCCGTTCATTAGTCAAGCTATGTCGTAATCAAGAGCCCTTGAAGTCCTTTGGAGTCTTAAATAATTAAGTCAATATTAATCTGAAAAGAAACTGCATGCATGAGTATAATCTACACAGCTGCAGAATAATTGAGAGGTCTTAAAATTATTGCTGACATGATCTTACTGAAAAGGCAAACTGTGGTGATCACCGTGATCTTTAAGGTCACCAATAAGGAAATCTTGAATTGAACAGTAGAAATCACTTTCTGCCCAAAATTCCAATACCTAGTTCTCTCTTTCATTCTTTCAAGGGAAAACTTAAGGCAATTGCTATGGATTATAAGGGGAAAGTAGCAAGGCATAAACCAAAACTCTTTTGAGGAGAGACTAAGAATCATAATATTTCCTTCCCTTTCACCATAAAAATATTTTCATCACTCTTCTAGTCCTTATACTTTAGTCCTCACACTCCTTTTGTGACGATCATTTTATAACTCTAGTTTATGTACAGTCTCCTCCTTATATCATAGTATCATGCGTATTGCTTAGAAAGATAAATATCAACTTAAGCTAGATGTATAGCCGTTATATGGATCCTGGCAAAGAAATGAACTCGGTATAACCCAAGAAAATAGGACTAGTCACATTTTTATGCAACCTTCTTCTAAGAAAGCCTACTTATATATCTTTAGGTCAGCTAATGAATGAGACATCCATTTTCTCTAACAAAAGCTATATGGACAAAGCTAAAACCTAATATTCAAGCATAAGCTAATAATTAATGGAATGACTTGCGGACACCTGCTTGTGGCTGCTTGTGTCTGCGTGTACATATATGCATAAAGCAGAGAGAAGCTAATGGAAAGACAATAACATGCATACACAGAATACATTTAACACAGGAATTGAGAGACTATTTCAAATGTGAATTATGGAATGTATTGGTTTAAAAGAACTTTTGAATTTTTTGTCACTTTTTTTATAAGTAAAAGTGGCTTATTGCAAGAACCTTTTGAGGGCATGTCCAATCTACATCTATCTGTGTATAGGTAACAAGTAACACACTCTACACCAATTGAATCATCATCATTGTTAAGCACTAATATATCGAGCACATTGCTCATGCAAACAACTCCCTTCGAAGGCAACTTTTAATAGAAAACATATCAACAAACTTCAAGCATAAAAAATAGTAAATTTCGAGCTCGAACTTAAAAGGTTAAAAATACTTACGTGTTGTCTTCCCGCTGCCAGTTTCACCAACAATTATCAGTGTGTCATTATTCCTAACCTCCTCCAAAAGTAATTTTTCAACTGGAAATACATAAATATTTAAATAAGAGACAAGCCAGCATGGAAATCACAACTTGAAAACATTATTAAAATGAAATGAAGGTCCCAAAATAACTATAATCCTGTAGTTCTATATTTGTTTTATTGTCAAGTCAACTTAAATTTCAAAAATAGCTAACATAAAGATTTTGAACTACCTTTTAGATGCTTAAACAAATGCTCAACAAAGTCAAAGAACCACTACATTAGATGATGTTCAAATAACACAAGTCAACCTTCAGTAGCACTCTTCTGAAAAAATATATGAAATACACAAAACATAACATTCACATAAAATAAAATCCAGAGAGGAACTTCAAAGAACTGCCTTTATATAAATAAAAATAATAAGTATAATGCTTAAACCTTGACAGGTGCAGATTTGATGAGGATAAAACTATTAATCTAGAAAAGATCAGAGATCCCTGAGATGCCTTTTTCAATAAGAGAAGGGACATGTCAGACACTATACCTACATCTCATTCTCCCTCATTCTAAATTGCACTCTATTATCCAGAAATGTATCTCATAGTTCTTAACACTGTCTCTACAAGCTTCCATAGCCACCGAATATCAGACAACTTTCGAATTACTGCCCATACATCTTATTTTTCGAATCACATTACTTCCAGATGATTTATTAATTTTTTTCACACCCTTCGAAATATCTATATATATACAGATTTAATTCCTAAACACTAGCACTTAAGCACCAGGCGATGTAGCACACTACAATAAGTGGTGGGAGATAATGGTTGGCACCTATTATAGTGTGCCATGTCACCCACCCAAAGCTCCGCACCAGTGCTTACGTTTAAAGGAGAAAATTCAAAGCTGCAAACTTGTTCAAGATCTCTTTTTAATTGACAACATGAAGTTTTTCTCTCTTTCTTTATCATTTTAAAAAAAACCAGAGTATAATGAGGCAATTCCAGTGCTTTAACTTCACCTTAATCAACCATTATCGATCTTCAACCCAATTGGCCAATGTAATTCAAATAAAAAGCTCAAGTAACTATCAATTAATGGAGAAAACTCCGTCCAAAAACTAAAAACTGGAAGTGAAATAATATAAATACAGCTCGGAACCTTACAGCCAGACGGCAATATCAACAACTTCATTGCAAGCAAAAAGGCAAAATAACAATTAAATTGTACGACAACTGATTGAAGTAAAAACCAAAACAAGAAAAAATAGATAGAGAAATTCACCAGCAGCAATTGGCAGAGCTTTTCTCTGCTGTTCAATATTCTGCCTCCTGCAAAAATTTTCCTTTCCAGTAAAACCCACGTAACAAGAACAATGTATACAAAAATTCGGTAATATATTAAAAAGGACCTGGCAAAGTGCTCTGATTTGGGTTTATTGATATTAGAATTGTGTTGGCTCTGCTTGAAGTTACCAGAATCCATTGAAGGCATCGGAAAAATGATTTGGGTGGCCACGGCCAGGGGCGGAGCCAAGATATTAGATCGGTGCAGGCAAAATTGTTTCGACGCCAAACGTAGAGGTTTTGGGAGCAATTCTATAAGCAAAGGCAAAGCAAAGCAATTCATGGGACAATTCCATTCACATAGAAGTACCAATACTATAAGGAATTCACATTTCACAGGACAAAATTATCGTCAATGTAGTGTCCATTGCTGAAGAAGAAAAGTAAAACTATGCTTCTCACTTTTTACCATTTCAACAAATTAAAAGCTACCAGCATAGTATCATCATATTAACCAAACAATTGTTCGACCAACAACCTCCCATTCATTAACATCATTCGCATTTCACAGGGCAAAACTATCATCAATTCACATATTCACAATTTCATTCACATCACAAGGCAATATGATGCGGGCCCAATTATTTTACTTTATGTTTTATTTATTGATGTCTTTTTATCTCATTGAGCTTGTCTAGTGGGTCTTTTTATTTCATTAGGCGTATCCTCCCTCTCCCTTCCCTTCCCCCCCTGAATTTATGCTTCTTCTCCGATTTTCCCCCCCATTCTCTCTGGTTGTCCCCCTTTCTTGCTGGCCTCTTCTCTATCCTGCATCAAATTTGGTATCTGAGCCTCAGCTGTTTTGCAATATCTTTAACTGAAATATACTCTCCAACGTATATATATATAGTGCTGCCATGAGTGTCAAGAAAAGCCATAAACACAACCATAACACATCTGCTGCTGCAAAACGCCTTTCCTGTCATCTTCCTAAACTAACCCCCGCATATTAATCTGAATTCCAATACAAACCCCAACCAAATACACAGCCTCCACAACCGCCAAACCTCTCCTAAACAGCCCACCACCAACAACACACAAAAGCCCAATGCAGTGAACACAGATTTGTGCCGCCACCACAGCTTCACATCCTTTACCTCTGTCGCCGGCATTCTAACGGCAAGACGAGCAGAAGAAACAGAAACAGAAAAAAAAAAAAGGCGAAGAAACAGAAAACGCACCACCCAAAGCCAGCCGTCCGTCGGGGGTTCTCCTAGCTTTCAGCTGTCGCCGCTCTTTTCTTCAACACCGCAGCCGCCGGTCGCCGGTCACTCCAAGCTTTTAGCAGTCGTCGGTCATTCCTCACAGCGCCAACTCCCGTAACTCTTCCGCCTTTATCACCTTTAACACCCGTAATCAGCGACCTTGAATCCGACTTTCTCACGAGAAAAGAGAAAGAACCGAGTAGAGGAGGAAGAAGAAAACGGCAGACTTGGATTAGCCTACGTTTTATTTTGGTTTGTCTATTGCAATTTTAAAATTTTGCTTGGGCTTTAGTCTGTAGTACCCTTTTTGTTTTGTTTTGTTTTGGGACTTCCTCTTACTTTTTGGTTGGGCCTTCATCTTTTATTTGGTTAGTCCATTCATATTGTAATAGATTAGTGCAAAAAAAATAAATAAATAAATAAAATAAATAAAACTCAGATATTATTCACAGGTGATTTTTATTTTGTTGATCAGATGCCACTCCGATGATTTAGGTCGCATTGCCAACATAACCGTACCAAATTGAAAATTATGATTAAAGCATTGTTTGACTTTTGAGTCTCGTATGGTGATATTTGACACAGTTACTTCAACAGAAGTGATATTTGACACAACTACTTTAACGAATGTGGTTTTTGACACATCTACTTCAACAAACAATAGGGGAATCACTGTTTTCTATTTATCATTGGTTTATAATATTGTTTCATTTTAAAATTGCATCGATTAAATTTTGTGCTGCTGTTATTCTAATAATATATCTAAAGTCACGTGATTGAATTCCTTGATTTCATCAAAGCCCCATTTTACCCCACTTATTTACGTGATTAGGTTTTGATTAATATTTGATCCATGCTTTGTTATTTTACGTAGATCGGTAGTATTAGCTTGCCATATTTGAATTTACTTAATTTTGAAATTTATAAAAAAAGGGGGGAGAGAGAGATTTAAAAAATGCTCAAGTTGTTATTTTCTATTGTTTGCACTTATTGTTCATTATCCCACAATTGCACGTTATTTAGCCGGTATTACATTGCATGCAGTTGCGTAATGGTCCTCTTATCGCCTCTATTTTCAGTACAATGACCATGGACCCATCCCAATTTGATGCACTCATTAGACAATTAGCTCAACTTGCCACTAGCCAGCAATACTTACAAACTTAATTAGCGGCTGTCCAAATCGAGATGGTTGTTACTTGTGAAAAGAGTAGAGATCTAGTTCCTAGTCTGAACAATTTTAAGTAAATCCCTCATTTGACTGATGTTAATAATTCTAAAGTGTCCCACAATAAACAATATTATCGTCGAGAAGGTAATCAAAAATATTTTCAATACGATCATAGGGATAGGGATTAGGTTCATGAGTGAGAACGAGGCCATGGTCGTCATGATACTCATTCTCTTCACAAGGAGCGTTTCTTTGGAGACATTAAATTAGATATTTCTATTTTCAATATTTGCTTAGATCATGAAATTTTTACCCAATGGAACACCCTTATACAATGGAATCAGCTAGTAACTGAGTATGTTGCTCAATTTGAAGAATTTCGCATGAAATGTCATGTCGTTGAGGATGAAACCTTGATTTTGAGTAGGTTTAGACAAGATCTATGGTGCAAGCTCTTGCTTCGAGGTATCACTGCTCTTGATCACGCTTACTTGTTAGCTCGGGACTACGAGTTACTTGTTAGTACTCCATATGAAAATCGTGGTCACTATCGTTCACCCATCTCATCAGCGCCACCTCGTCATAAGTCTATCATAGAGTCTTCCTCGTCTAATGTTCCTCCCATTTAGACAAATAAGTGTAAAGGTTTTGATATCCCAAGACCTTCTTCTTCATATCGAAGGCGTAGTTCGTCTTTTCGTCTCTTGGACTTCACCTCCTCCTATTAAGTTCCTTCTAAGACCTTCCCTATTTAATGCTCCTCCTCCGTTGCAAAGTAAAGGTCAAGATTTTGAAACTCCAATGACTTATTCTCACTTGCAGTGCTTCAACTGTAAGGACTTTGGTTACGTTTTTCCCAAATGTCTTAGTCGAATGCTAATCATTGAGGAACGAAATGATGTAATGGATGATCGATTAAAAGATCAAGTCTATGAACATAAACTTGAAGAATTTGATGACTTGAATCTTATTGAGGACACTTCCTTATGTAGTATCTGGACTTTTCTTATGAATCTAGGGGTTGTATCCTTTGCTCTCGATACCCCTCAGTCAAATATTGTATGTCGTACCTTTATCCAACCCAGCGATCCTGATGATTTGTGTAACGATACCATTTTCAAGGAAAACATTAGGAATTGGAATTTGATCCCCCCCAACAATTCAAATTGGTTATAACAATTTTGTGAATTAGTTTATAGGTATGAGTTCCGTCGAGGTTATTCATGGTTATAAGTCTAGGACGCATTTAGACCTTATTCTAATGTCCCAATATGTTAGTGCGTCTATATCAGTTGCGGCATTTGTAGATCATCTTCATGACTTGCATATTGAGATTAATAAACAACTTGAAACAAGTAATGCATCATATAAACTTCGAGCTGATTTGCACAAGTGACATGTTGCATTTAATATTGAAGATTATGTTATGATCCGAATTAGACCGGAGCGGGGTCCATCTAGATCCACTTCCAAATTGTAAACCAGTAATGTTGGTCCTTTTAAAATTTTAAAGCATATTGGTCCAAATACATATGTCATTGATCTCTCATCACATTTTAGCTACCACTCTACTTTAAATATTGAGGACTTCATTACTTACAAACACCGTTTTAATTCCTTTGATGATTATTTTCTACTTAACTTTGTGAACTCTCAACTTAACTATGTTGATATTTATACTTCAATACCATCTATCATAGCACACAAAAATAAAATTGATATTATTTTAGGTAAACGTGTTGTATTGATCAATGATGGCGAGATTCAATACTTCATTGTGTTTTTAGGTCATTTCACCTGATTTGGACAATACATGGATTTCAAAAGAGAGGTGCCAACTAATATGGATCAAACTGTTTTTAGAGTTTCGATATTTGGTTCATCAGAAAGATTGTCCTCCATGGCATGACTTGAAGTATTTTGGGTATCAACTTGACTGCGGCTTTTGTGAATTGCCCACTCGACAGGGTTGAGTTTTTCTCCTACCCCAGGAGAGTTGATGGGGACATTGGCCCAATTATTTTAATTCGTATTTTATTTAATGATGTCTTTTTATTTCATTGGGCTTATCTAGTGGGTCTGGCCCAAGCCCTTGAATATTAGGATTTTTTTGCTATTTATACGTTGATAACTGAAATTGCAAAGCAGTTGATATTATGATGAAATGAAATTGGTTATGGCAAATTCTTCTTATCCCTTTCCTTGCATTTCTGCTTCTTTTCCGATTTCTCTCCCCTTTCTTGCTGCCTTATTCTCTATCCGGCATCACAATATACACTATTTCAAAATTCTAGTAACAGAGACTCAGAGAGTAAGCAAGCGTAGACAGTGGCGGTGCCGCTTTGAGTTCGAGCAATTGAAGAGCTACTAGTTTCATATGTTAAAAAAAACAAATATTATTACAATTACACAAATCGAAACAACAAAAAATAAGGAAAAGAAGCTTCAAAGTTGACCATGGGAATTGGGATGGAAATCAGGGCTTCACCTATACCAATCAGAGCTACAACCCGGCGCCTCACGCTTGCTACCGATTGCTAGAAGAGTCGTCGAAGCCATCTACCTCGATGCCTCGAACTATCACAGTTGAACAAATAGGGACACACGCCAGACGGCATGACATAGGCGTTTGAGACTTCAGAAAATGAAGTGATCGGCGAGCAGAGCGGAGGAAGGCCAAGCGACGAACTGTGAGTCAGTGACGGAAGCAAGAGAGAATTAGAACGAAAAATTGAAAGAGAATGTATGAAATTGAATAATTGAACTAGAGAATGGGTTTAGTCATTTAGATATGGGTCATGGGATGGGTCATCACTCACTATTGAGCTTTACAGTTAACAATTAAAAAAAAAAAGAGGAAATTTCACCCATTACTATTAAATAGAAACTTTTTCTAATTTTAAATCTCAACTTATTTTAATTTAAAAATACTTTAATTTATGCAGTAAAATGAAAAACTAACAAATCAATTTAACCCTCAAAAGTTATTAATTGATATCACTCCACCAAATAAACACCGTAACAAAATCAATCCAACCCATAATTACAAAATCTCGATTTTTTCTCAATTCTCACTCCTTATATGCACACACTCTCTCTTTATGTGTATCACTTTCTTTTCGAAACTCTACATACAACACGCACACACATATGACAATGTCAGTGACGAACGGATATGATTACATCTACAAATTTTTTTAGCTTAACGGTGGATATAGATTATTTATTGAATATCCGGAATTCTTTAGTTTTTTTCACATAAGGAAATTATCCAATAATAAAGCTAGCGTTTGAATGAGGTTCATGTCTGTATCTTGGTTTCTAGGGCATGTGTTTATCTTCAAATTTACTCTGTTTGGGCTTGATGAGTCTCATCGCCTTCGGCACCCTCTTTGTAGTGTGGATAATGTCAGCCACCATGCCATCCACCATCGTGCCTCCCGTTACCTTAGCCTCCACCAAAATAATACCAGAGAAAGACCTAGCATATTTAAGAATGTCGACAGAGACGATAAAATGGTTGGTTATGATTCTTCAAAACGATGGTATTCGTTCGTGTTTTATTGAGATAAATTTAGTCCAGAATCATTGGGTATGATTTGAGCACTATTCTTTTGCAAGTATATTATTATCTATGTATGTATATACATTTCCATATGTTGATATGTATTACACGCTGGCGATCTCATGAAAGTATAATTATTTACATCTGATACACATCACAAAAGTATAATTCACATGTCTCCAATATGTTGGTTACTGTAAACATTTTCGTATTTCGATATGTATTACACAATCACATTCTCAGGCATACCTAGGAAATCTCACATTTGATATGTATCATGGTTAGGTTACATTATGCATACACATACATCATTGTGTATTTTCATATCTTACACTATTTAAGTTGACCACTCAGTTGAACTTTTCTCATGTATATGCAATAGGATTTTGGATTTTACATCCCACCCTAAATAGATTCAATGTCATTATTGTTGCTCATATTTATTGATTTGAATTTGAATTTTCATGAATCCTTGTGTAATGAAATTTTCAGTTACACGTTGAAAAAAGGAAAGTCTTGAA